GAGTTAGATAGTAATAGTTTTGAACATTAGCTTCTTAAGAATTCCCTAGACTAAACTTTAAACAAATTATCCAAGTGATAATTTGGTCGCTAACGCGAGTTCTAGTGTAACACCCTATGCCCATTATTAGCAAATATTGTCCTCTTTGAGCTTTCCCTCACAGTTTTAAAATGCATCAACGAGAGAGAGGTTTCCATGTTTCGTTCCCCTCTCCAACTGAGGTGCGATCTCACATTTAGTATTCAAGTTTCCAAAATAGAAATAAAGGTGGGTCTGTGGGAGGGGGCAGACAAAAGAATCAGATCATAGAAGTAAAGTTTAATTAAATAGTAAAGTAAAAATAATAAAGAATGATTATAATAATTACCAATATTATCAAAGCCATTTGAACAACCAGGCCAGCTAGGCAAACTTCTTGAATTCCTTGCCCAAGCATTTTCAAAACTTTCAAGCTCATCTGCATATTTACAACAAAAATGTTTGACATTGTAGGCATCCAGCTTACAGGCAAACACAAAAAACAGTTCGGTATGAATAGTTACATACCTCCATTAAGATTATGCAAAGTTTGCATGGTATCCACCTTACCATCAGGATTTAGTTTCCTTGTAAATGAATGGCCCTAAAAGGAATATCAAACAAGATTTTCAACATGGATACAACTACAGAAAGGCATTATGAATCTCAAGGGATCAAATTTTCTTTGTCCATACCTTATAATGAAGTCCTCTTGAAACTTTATGGGTTGCTTGTCTGGTTGCGGTATCAGCTTCCTTGCTTTCTTCGAAAACCACCTATTTACAGAAGATAGATAAATGAGGGAAGAAGTCAATTTAAGAGAATCAACTCCTTGGTGGCATTTAAGTTCACTTACACCATCACTTCCAGCCCTCCTCGTTCTTGATGAAGTATAATATGTCCCATTCGAACTTCCATAAGTTACAGAGGAGCTCTGAAATGTGAAGCTATTAGCTTGAGGTCGAACATGCCTCTGATTTGGTCTACTATGATGATCCACGAGCTGGAAATGTTGGTTCCCCTTCTCTGAAACAACAAAGAAGGAAACACCCTTTGATATTGCAACACAGATTGCACTGAATATGCATAAAAGCAAGAATACAAACATAACATTGCGGACAAGTTGATTCTCACCTTCATCATCAGGGCCTTCATCAAGAGGCTCTTTGGAAGAACTCTTTGTATTTTTACTTTCTTTTTCTGCTTCTTTTTCATCATCTGAATTTATTTCCTCAATAATTAGACCCCTTGGTCTTTTAGCCTCAGGGGGCTGATGATCAAGGAATCCAGACGCATGCATGTTAGCAAAAGGAATTCCAGAACCAACAAAGAAGCTTGATTCGAACATGCTTCCAAATGGACTCCTGAAGAAAGGATCATCAAATGGATCCCTTCCACCAAAAAAATCAGAAATTAAGCTTCTTTGACCCGGAAAGCCTCCAAACCCAGCAAAGGGATCGTCAAAATCAAAAAAAGCATCCCCACCACCTCTGCTCCTTCTATGCATCGTTACAGTTCAAAAAATATGCTCTGGAAAAAAGACAAGACACGTCAATGAAAAACATATGCCAACAAATAACATTCAGTATGATCCGCTTGATCACGTAAACTGAAACTTCATAATCAAAACTATTTCATGATTTTCACGAATCGAACATCAACAGAAAAAGAATACAAAAATCACCAAAGATAATATCAAGAACAGTAATGCAAGAAGCCAGAAATCCTATAATTAAAGATTCAAAATAACAAAGAAATTAAAAAATCCACCATTTACATAACATGCAACCAAACTAGCATGAGCAATGCCACATAAAAAATTAAAAAAAAAAACGACTGCATAACACAGTAATATAAAAAAGTACTCGTACTCCAAGAAACAAAGTCCAAAAAAAGTACAACGAACAAATAAACATCATCTAAATTCTTGAAATATAACACAAACCCTAGCTCATCCGTTCCTGTTAGAGAGAGAAGCTGTACCTTAAGCGAACAAGATAGGGAGAAATTCGCCAGAATCACTATCGTTTCAAAAGAAATTTCAGAATTGGGAAAGAAGGGGAATTCCGAATTGCGAATCTACTATCGTTTCAAAAATTTCAGAATTGGGAAAGAAGGGGAATTCCGAATTTCACCAACTAAAAAAACACAGAAGAAAGGCGTGGGACGTTAGTCCTTGAAATAGAAGCTTCCAGACATGTAATGCGTGTACACGTGCCAAGTACTGGTTGGTATATAGCAAAACCAGAATAATTGGTTGGTTAGTTTGGGCCTAGTCTATGAATATAATGAAAGCCCAACACTTTAATTTGGATAAAATATAATGCCCTTTTTTAATTAAACGGATTTTTTTTATTACTTTTATAATATTAATATTTATTTTTAATATTTCTAATTTTGAAGACATTTTGTTGGGTCAATATTATGATAAAAATGTTAGGGTAAAAAATAAATAATGGGGAATTTAAATAAGATAAGAAAAAAATAAATAAAATAATGCCGGGGCTACGAACAACATGAATGCATGTACCTAACTTCAATTTCATGGTCGTCAGTGAGTCGTCATTATTCGGATAGAGATAACTTATTACAGTAAAAATAAGAGAAACATGTAGTTTGAGTATTTCAAACAATACTTAGTAATTAACTCCCCTTCTAGGTCTGAAAATATAATCACATGCAATCATGTTTGTAACCTACCATTTAATAAAAACATCATAATATGGTATTGTCTCTACTTCCGGTCTGGACAGAACTGGATGTGTAATACTTCTCTACACATGACCCACCTATGCACACATGGACTCTCAGACGAGCTCGTATAAGTAGCCCTAAACCTAGCCTTTAACTAACGTACACTCAGTTGATATACCACGGAAGGAAGGGAGTGCACATAGTGTCATGATGTACATATTAATTTATGATAACATTATAATGTACACACTCGTACTAATCATAGCTAGAAAATATCTCGATACACATAAATTAATAATAGGCATGAAATCTCCATAATTTAAAATCATGTCATGTATTTATAATACAAGTTATAACATTATTCATTTCACACCTAACTTAATCATTTCCTATCATATTGTAATTCAGTGCATAATATGTCATAACACCTTCTATAAAGTAGCATAATTTCATATGACGTAACGTGTCAACAAAATATTTCATAACATAATATATCTCATAATTATAATATAACACATCGAATTTCATACCATAATATACACTTATCATACCAATAACATAATAAACAAGTATGTATTTATCTTACGTTTTTAGTTTATAATTCAATGTACACCTACTTGTAAAAATTATTTTTAAAAGGATATATATATAAATTGCTAAAAAAAAATTGGTATATTTTTGGAATAATGAGTGTTTAATATTATTTAAGAAAATATCATTTAATTTATTAATTTTCAATTATATTTAGGAAGAAAATATCATTTAATTTATTAATTTTCAATTATATTTAGGAAGAAAAGATAATTCAATTATAATATATTTGAATTTACAAATAGTTTTGATAAAAATGGAATAACAGAGATGAAAGGAGGATTTAAAATTTGAGATTCGGTTTATGAAAAGGATTCAATCTTTTGAATTGAATTTCTTTTTTATCTTCTCCATTGAAATCAGTATAAATAATCACAATTGGAAACTTTTTCCTCTCAATAATCAACCATGTCTTTCCCAGATTCAGTCACATTCCGCTGCAATCTCCACAGCTACCATGGTCCCGATCAGCTTCTCCAAATTCGAATAAGTCATTCAAGCCGTCTGTTTATCGGATCGCCGTTCCCTGGACATCCTTTCAATATCGTCTATGAAACTCTCACTACTATAACGGTGGATGCTCAGTTCTCCCTTCCTTTGCGGGAGCTCGAAGATCCGTTGTTCTGCCGAGCTTACATCGAAGAATTTCTAAGTTCTTACAACCTTGATGCCACAATCAACAACGCCATTGCTCAGAGGATTGCCTCTTTCGTCATTCAAATGGCGTGCGGAAACTACGAGATGACGTTCTACATCGTTGCGGAAATCGATTACATCCAGATGTTTTGGTTGGACCAGAGTGCGATTGCAGCAGAGGAGGAGGAGGAGGAAGAAGAAGAAGAGGATGAGGAGGAGGAGGAGGAGGAGGAGGAAGAAGAAGAAGAGGATGAGGAGGAGGAGGAGGAGGTGATTTTTGACAACTTTTCGGAGAGGAGAGGGGTGTCACGGTCATGCTTGTCCAGGGCATGTTGCCCATGGCCGCATGCCCATGACAAGCCAAACCCTTGTCATGTCTTTTCATTCTAGTGTTTTTCCTTTTGTAATTCTAAAGCGTATGACACCTCAAAAATATCATGTCTACGCCTGCCAGAACTAAAATGGCCCAGAATGTACTATAGGGGGATATGACTAGTCGTCAACTTCTCCCTACCCAAGGTTATATATGCTAAGCCGTTGTTATCTTTCTCTTGCTTGCTTATATAACGTCTCTTTCTAAAAATCTCTCTTTCTCAAATCTCTCTCTCGTTTTCTAAAACCTTCTTTTAAAACCGAGGCTAGAGGCTTGACCGTACGTCGCTTGGCCGTAGTCTCGTTTTCTAAAACCTTCTTTTAAAACCGAGGCTAGAGGCTTGACCGTACGTCGCTTGGCCGTAGGCTCGTTTTCTAAAACCTTCTTTTAAAACCGAGGCTAGAGGCTTGACCGTACGTCGCTTGGCCGTAGGCGACGCAAGAACAAATAGGCTTTAAAACCGAGGCTAGAGGCTTGACCGTACGTCGCTTGGCCGTAGGCGACGCAAGAACAAATAGGCTCAACTCACTTGTTGCGAGGCTTGACCGTACGTCGCTTGGCCGTAGGCGACGCAAGAACAAATAGGCTCAACTCACTTGTTGCTGGAAAGTGAGTGCCGCACAATCGCTAGTCCGCTGCCTTCGAAAGTGCGATTGTGTCAAGTGGTATCAGAGCTTTGTTAGCTCCGTAACGTCATATAGACTGAGATCATGTCGACGACAAAGTCGACACCCAAAGCACAAGCCGACCGGCTTACGCTAATAGANACAGGGTTAGGAAGATAGGAAGACCTGTACGGACGATTCGTGAATTCCTTGTCAAATGGAAGAATCTCCCTACAGAGGAAACAAGCTGGGAACGCGCCGAAGATCTGAACTCCGCCACCACCCACATCACAAGGTATGAAAGTAGTCGGTTGACAGGGACGTCAACCAATTAGGTGGGGGTGGATGTCACGGTCATGCTTGTCCAGGGCATGTTGCCCATGGCCGCATGCCCATGACAAGCCAAACCCTTGTCATGTCTTTTCATTCTAGTGTTTTTCCTTTTGTAATTCTAAAGCGTATGACACCTCAAAAATATCATGTCTACGCCTGCCAGAACTAAAATGGCCCAGAATGTACTATAGGGGGATATGACTAGTCGTCAACTTCTCCCTACCCAAGGTTATATATGCTAAGCCGTTGTTATCTTTCTCTTGCTTGCTTATATAACGTCTCTTTCTAAAAATCTCTCTTTCTCAAATCTCTCTCTCCTCGTTTTCTAAAACCTTCTTTTAAAACCGAGGCTAGAGGCTTGACCGTACGTCGCTTGGCCGTAGGCGACGCAAGAACAAATAGGCTCAACTCACTTGTTGCTGGAAAGTGAGTGCCGCACAATCGCTAGTCCGCTGCCTTCGAAAGCGCGATTGTGTCAAGTGGTATCAGAGCTTTGTTAGCTCCGTAACGTCATATAGACTGAGATCATGTCGACGACAAAGTCGACACCCAAAGCACAAGCCGACCGGCTTACGCTAATAGAGGAGGAAATGCTGTTCCTCAAAGAAGTCCCTGACACCCTCCGTTTCCTGGAAACACGGGTGACCGAACTGAGTGAGAAAGTCGTCCAAGTCGACGCAATGGGCAACCGCCTGGATGGGTTGCCAATCGCAGAACTATTGTTTCGAGTGACCTCGCTCGAAGAAAGAGTTGCTCCTACGAGCAGCCCAAAACCGTCTGATAGTCCGGATAGCTCTGTCGCACACAAAGAGGGACGTGGCGAAGAGTTCGACGTACTACAAAACACAATGATGAGTTTGTTCAATGGATTGGCTGATGAATTCAGATCAACAGTCGACGACCTCCAAGAAAGGATGGCCGCCATGAGCACTCGAATTGAAATTACCATGAAAGCCGTGGAAGGTGTCGCGGCTGGACAAACCAATACAGGATCCAACAAACTAAGGTTCCCAGACCCTAGAGCCTTCAAAGGGAATCAGGACGCCAAAGAGTTAGAGAACTTCATCTTTGACGTCGAACAGTACTTCAAAGCCACGACGGCTTGTACCGACGACAAGAAGGTGACTGTAGCCGCGATGTATCTCGTAGACGACGTCAAACTGTGGTGGCGTACGAAGGTGCAAGACATCGAGGATGGATTGTGCACCATCGACTCATGGGAGGACCTCAAGAGAGAGTTGAGGGAACAATTCCTCCCCGAAAATGCAGGGCATATAGCAATGGAGAAAATAGTAGCCCTGAAACACACTGGAAACATACGAGACTACGTCAGACAGTTCTCAACCCTGATGCTGGATATCAGGGGCACAGCAGAGAAGGACAAGGTGTTCTTCTTTATAAATGGTCTACAGCCGTGGGCCAAAACAAAGATACATGAGAACAGGGTCCAAACCCTAGCTGCCGCAATGGCCTGTGCCGAGAGACTCGTAGACTGTGGGAACGAGGCAGGATCCCAAAGAAGAGCGACACCAGCCCCAAACAATGGGGGCAAACCATACAGACCACCAGGCCAGCGAAATGGAAGTCCCAACAGACCGAATGGATGGACGGATAGACCTCCTCAGAACAATCAAGCGGGGACTTCTCGAGGGCATTACCATCAAAAGAACCACCCGACGACACCTTTGCAATGCATGCTGTGTAAAGGCCCCCACAAAGTATCATACTGTCCTCATCGGGCCTCTCTCACTGCACTTCAAGTGTCCATTCAAGAGAGCAATGAAGCAAGGGTCGAGACTTTGCTAGACAAGAAGGAAGATCACGACAACCCCCGAATGGGCGCACTCAAATTCTTGTCAGCCCTCCAACGGAAAGTCGAACCGAAGGAGGTACTAGAAAAAGGGCTCATGTTCGTAGATGCCACAATAAACTCTCAACCGAGCAAGAGCACTCTGATAGACTCTGGAGCAACCCACAACTTCATTGCCGATCAAGAAGCCAAAAGATTGGGACTCACCATAGGAAAAGACCCGAGGAAAATGAAAGCTGTCAATTCCGAGGCCTTGCCTATTGTGGGAGTTTCCAAGAGAGTCCCCTTCAAAATAGGGGATTGGACTGGAGAGCTAGACCTTGTCGTGGTTCGCATGGATGACTTCGACGTGGTACTTGGGATGGAGTTCCTCCTAGAACACAAGGTCATCCCAATGCCATTAGCAAAATGCCTGGTGATCACCGATCGTAATCCCACAGTAATACCTGCAAGCATCAAGCAACCAGGTAATCTTCGAATGATCTCGGCCATACAACTGAAAAGGGGACTCGCACGAGAGGAACCTACATTTATGGCCATACCACTGATAGAAGAAGCAACCACCGAAGAGACTGTCCCAGAGGAAATCAAGGAAGTACTATACAGCTACACCGACATCATGCCAGAGAGTCTACCACAAACACTACCACCTCGTCGAGGCATTGACCACGAAATCGAACTCCTTCCCGGAGTTAAGCCGCCAGCAAAGAACGCATACCGGATGGCTCCGCCCGAGCTAGCCGAATTGAGGAAACAACTAGATGAGTTGTTGAAGGCGGGATTCATTCGCCCGGCAAAGGCCCCTTATGGAGCCCCCGTACTATTCCAGAAGAAGAAAGATGGGACGTTGCGTCTATGCATAGACTATAGAGCCTTAAACAAGGTGACAGTACGCAACAAATATCCTCTGCCGATAATATCCGACTTGTTCGACCAACTTCACGGGGCCAAGTACTTCACGAAGTTGGACTTACGATCAGGATATTATCAAGTACGGATTGCCGAAGGGGACGAACCCAAGACGACGTGCGTAACAAGATATGGGGCCTTTGAATTCCTAGTAATGCCCTTTGGCTTGACAAACGCCCCAGCTACGTTCTGCACGTTGATGAACCAGGTCTTCTACGAATACCTGGATCAGTTCGTCATAGTATACCTCGACGACATTGTTGTTTACAGCACAACCCTCGAGGAACACAAAGTGCATTTGAAGTTAGTGTTTGACAAGCTCCGGCAGAACCAGCTGTATGTGAAGAAGGAGAAATGTGCATTCGCACAAACATGCATCAACTTCCTTGGACACGTCGTCAGATGTGGACAAATCAGTATGGATAGCGACAAGATAAAAGCTATCCAAGAATGGAAGGTTCCTACTTCCGTATCTGAATTGCGGTCCTTCTTAGGACTAGCCAACTATTATAGGCGGTTCGTCGAAGGGTTTTCACGACGAGCCGCCCCATTGACAGAGCTGTTGAAGAAAGACCACCCGTGGTTGTGGTCGAATGATGGTCAAATGGCCTTTGAAAATCTGAAAACAACCATGACGAGGGGTCCTGTCCTCGGGTTGGTAGATGTCACAAAGCCATTTGAAGTAGAAACCGATGCTTCCGACTTTGCTCTCGGTGGAGTCCTCATTCAAGAAGGCCACCCCATCGCTTACGAAAGTCGAAAGCTCAACGATGCTGAACGAAGATACACTGTCTCCGAGAAAGAAATGCTGGCTGTAGTCCATTGCCTTCGAGTCTGGAGACAGTATCTCTTAGGATCACAGTTCGTAGTGAAGACGGATAACAGTGCCACTTGCCACTTCTTTGATCAACCAAAATTAACAGCAAAACAAGCCCGGTGGCAGGAGTCGTTGGCCGAATTCGACTTCAAGTTCGAACACAAAGCAGGGAAGAGTAATCAAGCAGCCGACGCGTTGAGTCGGAAGGGCGAACATGCGGCCCTGTGCATGTTAGCCCACATTCACTCAAGTAAGATCGATGGATCGATGCGCGACATCATCAAAGAACATTTACACAAAGACCCATCGGCCAAAGCTGTTGTCGAACTAGCTAAGGCTGGAAAGACACGGCAGTTTTGGGTTGAGGGGGACCTCCTGATAACCAAAGGAAACAGGTTGTACGTCCCAAGAACGGGGGAACTGCGGAAGAAACTCATTCAGGAATGTCACGATACCTTGTGGGCCGGACATCCTGGGTGGCAAAGAACATACGCCCTAATAAAGAAGGGGTACTTCTGGCCAAACATGCGAGACGACATCATGCAATACACCAAGACGTGCCTCATCTGCCAACAGGATAAGGTCGAGAAAGCCAAAGTCTCTGGACTCTTGGAACCTCTACCTGTGCCAACAAGACCCTGGGAAAGTGTATCTCTGGACTTCATAACACACCTCCCAAAGGTCGGGGAATATGACGCCATCTTGGTCATTGTAGACCGATTCTCCAAATATGCGACATTCATCCCCACTCCCAAATTATGCTCGGCGGAACTCACAGCCCAACTGTTTTTCAAACACGTTGTAAAGTTATGGGGCATTCCGTCGAGCATCATCAGTGATAGGGATGGCAGATTCATTGGGACGTTCTGGACTGAGTTATTCGCTTTCTTGGGAACAACCTTGAACATCTCCTCGAGTTATCACCCTCAAACCGATGGACAGACAGAACGGTTCAATTGCTTGCTCGAAGAATACTTACGTCACTTCGTCGACGCTCGCCAAAAGAACTGGATACAATTGCTAGATGTCGCCCAATTTTGCTTCAATTGCCAAACCAGCTCATCTACAGGGAAGAGTCCCTTCGAAATTGTAAGTGGACGACAACCGGCCTTACCCCATATTATTGATCATCCTTATGCAGGAAAAAACCCTCAAGCTCACAACTTTACAAGGGAATGGAAGCAGACAACAGATATAGCCCGGGCATATTTAGAGAAGGCTTCCAAGCATATGAAGAAATGGGCGGACAAGAAGCGTCGCCCCCTTCATTTTCGTGCAGGAGATCAAGTCCTTATCAAGCTGAGACCAGAACAGATCAGATTTCGTAGCCGAAAGGACCAGAGACTAGTTCGTAAATATGAAGGCCCGGTTGAAGTCCTTAAAAAGATCGGGGCTACCTCCTACCGAGTGGCACTACCCGCATGGATGAAAATCCACCCCGTCATTCATGTGAGCAACTTGAAGCCCTATCACCCTGATCCAGACGACGACCAACGAAATGCAACCACAAGACCGAACATCGATCTGAAGCAAAAAGAAACAAAGGAAGTGGAAGAGATCCTAGCCGACAGGGTTAGGAAGATAGGAAGACCTGTACGGACGATTCGTGAATTCCTTGTCAAATGGAAGAATCTCCCTACAGAGGAAACAAGCTGGGAACGCGCCGAAGATCTGAACTCCGCCGCCACCCACATCACAAGGTATGAAAGTAGTCGGTTGACAGGGACGTCAACCAATTAGGTGGGGGAGGATGTCACGGTCATGCTTGTCCAGGGCATGTTGCCCATGGCCGCATGCCCATGACAAGCCAAACCCTTGTCATGTCTTTTCATTCTAGTGTTTTTCCTTTTGTAATTCTAAAGCGTATGACACCTCAAAAATATCATGTCTACGCCTGCCAGAACTAAAATGGCCCAGAATGTACTATAGGGGGATATGACTAGTCGTCAACTTCTCCCTACCCAAGGTTATATATGCTAAGCCGTTGTTATCTTTCTCTTGCTTGCTTATATAACGTCTCTTTCTAAAAATCTCTCTTTCTCAAATCTCTCTCTCCTCGTTTTCTAAAACCTTCTTTTAAAACCGAGGCTAGAGGCTTGACCGTACGTCGCTTGGCCGTAGGCGACGCAAGAACAAATAGGCTCAACTCACTTGTTGCTGGAAAGTGAGTGCCGCACAATCGCTAGTCCGCTGCCTTCGAAAGTGCGATTGTGTCAAGGGGCGCCTGAGACGGCGATAGAGAGGTTGAAGAAGGAGAAATTCGATGGGTTTGGGGGAGAAGATTTGGGGAATTGTAGTGTGTGTTATGATGAGATGAAGGAGGGCGGGGAAGAAGTGATCAGAATCCCCTGCGGACATGTGTATCATAAGTCTTGTGTTCTCACTTGGCTTCAAAGGAACAACTCATGTCCTCTGTGCAGAAAGAAAATAGAAGCTTAAGAGATTTTTTTTTTTTTAAGGGTAATGTAATTTTTTTGGGGTTAAGATTCAATTTTTGCATCATTTTTTTTTTTTTTGCCTATAAACTTTTATTTTAAGAAATTATAATTGAAATTTATTCTCGAGGTCATTTTTTAAATAATTTGGGCTTTAAGTCTACTTTGACTTGTTATTTTAAAATAGGCTGTTTGGAGATTTCTATATTCTTATAAAAAAAAAATATTTCGTTCCCTTCTTCTATTACTGTTTTGGTTCGTTACATATTATTTTGAAGCACTAGAAATGTTAATCGATTTAGGCATT